TTTTTTTTTTTTTTTTTTTTTTTTTTGAACCTTGGATACCCAGGGGCCAACCCCTCACTTCCACGTGCTGCTCCCTTGCAGTGCAGAGAACAGGTGACTGTGCAGTATGTGTTGCTGCAGACATGTCTGCGACACCACATATTGCATGGCCTCACTTATCTGGATGTGGCCAGACATTTCAAATAAGAATCCATGGTGTCAAAAACATTCTGGCCTGTTGTAGCCTGAGTTATTTGCAACAGAAGAATTGTTCTATTATTTTTCTGTAATAAAAAACTGAGTGAAAGCAGAGCCAGCATTTTCAAGGGGAGCCCTAAATCTAATGCTAACCTGCTTTTTCCTTTGATGTGGAGTTGATAAGATGCCCTGGTCTGTGCACCACATACCAGCTAGAGACTTTGGAACAGACTTGCCTTGCTAGACTTTCTCACCATGCCCCATCATTTCAGCTCTTTAGATTTTAAATACTTCTCACATTAGTATGCTTGGAAACTCCCCCTTTTTTAACAATCATTTACAGGCTGGAGTGATACCAATGTATGTAACATGGTTTCATCCTACTCATCATTTCATCCTATGCCTGTGCCGTATTTATTTTTCCTTCAGTGAAAAAGGGTGGGCAAAATGAGAGGGAATTCAGTCTTTTTCTTGTTGTTTGTTTTCTTCCTCTCTAGGCCCAGCAACACCACAGGAAGTTGATAGGAGCTATGTGCACACTTTTTCTGCTCCAGGGAGGCCTTGCCGGCAGGGTAGTTCAGGCTTCTCATTACTGCTCTGGAGCTGCGTGTTCAACCCTGCTTTGGACTCATGCCAAAACCTAGTCTCGGTTAACCCAGCTGTAAATGAATACCTGCTCATGGTGGTTGGATGGGGCTGGTTGTTGGTGGAATGGTGGTTAGAGAGTGAGTGAGTTTGGGAAGTTACAGAAACAACTGTGCCTTAACCATGCCAACCCACTGGCCTATTATGGTTAGCAGGACACTTGTCTTGATTCCTTCTTTTGTGGGAGAGCAGAGCCCAGGATCCTTAAGTAGGTGAATAGGCCCAGAGGAACTGGAGAACCTCCTACAACCTCTTACGGTCAATGGGATGACGGGTATCCTTTGATGAAAGAACAGTCTTGGACACTTGGATCCCTTCTGCATTTATAATCTCAGTGCTGCATAAACTGTTTCACACTTTAATTACCCAGGCAGCTCTTACCTCCGAACTGCTTTTGTGGCCCTTGTGTTTTCAGTTCAGGTTTTCCTGGGCTTCTTACTATCTTGATTTCATCTCATGTTTTGTTGGTACTTCCCTCATAACTTTCTGTCTTTTCCTTTTATTGAATACTATATCTACCTTATTAATCAAAAGAGCTATGAACCAGAGCTGGACAACCCATGGAAGCTGCTTTAGAGCAGTGCATCTTGGACATGCCAGGGCCCCAACAGACCCCTCTGCTTTGCTTGAAAGCTGAATGAGTTTATGCATTGGAAGCAGCCACCACAGGCAACAGCAGCCAAGTTGTGTGTATTGATGCTTGGCTTCTGTTACTGCTCCTGATACTTCTGTTTGTTTGTAAAGCTGCAGCTTGGGAGGGGAGTGGACTTGGGAGATGAATCCAGAACAGATATATCCAGTAATAGCTATTGAGTTGTTGAGATCCAACATTTCAGTTTGGTTTCCATACTCCAACAGATGCTTACTTAGAGTCATGGCTTTATGACTTCCTACTGATCAGGTCCTCAGGCAAAACCGCAGATCCCAATCTAGGCAGCAGACCGTTCTGTTGTACTTTTTATCCAGGCTGTCTATCAGTTCTTGGTCCAGTAAATCTTCCCTTCATATCCTTCTAGTCATTCATCTCTGCCATGGTCTCCTTGCCCCCAGACAGCCCCTTCCCCCAAATGGCCAGACAACGATTTGACCGATTTCGCTGCTTTACTTGCTTCCGAGGGCACATGTGTGGCGGGGGGGGGGGGGGAGTGGGGATGGAAGGATTGAATGAATTTTGGAAAGGTCCGTTTGCCTGCAATCACAAGAGCATTTTTTATACTTAAAACACAATTTTCTGGGCATGGGTGAAGGGATCACCCTCAGGTTTTGCTAGCCTTTCATTTGGCATAATTATCAGATCTTCTTTGTTAGAAGAAGCAGGAGGCAAAGTCATTCAAACAACTGGCCTCTTGTTCCTGCTCAGCACTGCTGTTCTGTTAGTATTTTAATGAGGGACTCCCATGAACATTAATGTCTTAGGGTGCATATAGACGTTATGCTTAGATTGACCTAATGAGAGTTAGGTTGATTGAAATGCCAATCTGCACAGACGTTCAGGGAGGTTAGATCAGGCAAAAAATGGTTGGCTCAATCCAATTTAGTTCACCTGAGGAGGTGAACCAAGATTGGGAATGGGTTAACTCAATCTAGTGAACATCTGTATATGTTCAGAACATAGCCCAGGGGCTGGGAAAGCCCAGCTGCTCATCTTAGCTTTGGAGTTGGCTGCACTTTTCATACCTCCTCCCCACCCTGACTGGCCTATTTTTAGCCCTCTGACTCTGCCACCCCAGGACAAACAATCTTCCAGTGGACCTGTCAACCCCCTTCTCCATCCCCACCCTGATTCTTCCCCCTTGCCGCCCCCCACCTTGCTTAGATCAGATTCCCAACATGGCTCCCAGCACAAGCAAACATCTGCACAAGCAGGACTTGAGCTTAAAGTAAGCTGTGTGATCACAAACTGGGTCCTACGAATATGTGTACATACCCTAAACCAACCTGCGATAAACTTTAATATACTTGGGACATAGATGAGTGCAGAGAGGAGAGCCTGACTTTGGGGGATCTAGTCATGGTTTATTATTCAAGTACTGACTGCCTTATTTTTAGAGTGTAGCACAGTGTTGTATGTATATCATTTTGAATGGTGCTGTTACCTGAGATGAAGGTCTTGGGTTAAGATTTCAGGGGTATCCTTCCCTGGGATTTCTTTCAAAACGGTTACACAAGACTTATTCCAGCGTATTCCAGATACAAACACTGCTGCTCTTCAGAAGAACTTTTATGAGCCCTGGGGGTAAGTCATTTCTGGCAGGGATGATTTAGCAGCATGCACTGAGAAGGTGAACTCCAACAGAAGCAGGGAAATCACCCTAAACATCTCATAAATGCAGTGGCAGAATTTTAACAAAAGTCCTGACAGTCTCTTCCAGATCATCGCTGGTACAGACAGAGATGAAACCACGGGGAGGCATACAGCAGCTTTCTGTAGGCCAGAACTTCCCTGGTGACTGGCAAATATAAAAGCAAACATCTGCATGCCAGATATGAGCAGCCCTTGTGCTTGTCCCAGCCTGTCCAACTGTTGAAGGCACACAAAACAGGCATTTGAATGAGTGGCTGGTCGAAAGGGCCTTGACTACTCTGAGAATAGAATGGTGTTTGAAAACTCTAATAAAATACTTCTAAGCACTTCTGTTGCACTGTATTTAAATATGCTTTCATTGGCTGGAGGAGTTGGGGCAGGCTGACTGGGCCAATATGTGCGAGGAACTGTATTGAAAATGGTGCCCAGTGAATTAATGTCTAAATATGGCTATGATAGTGCAGAAGGGACCTCTGAAATTGGAAAGATACTGAGGTATCAACAGCTGTTCCTTTCTGGATTCATCTCTTTCTATCTTCTTTTAAAGCCATTTTGTTGAATTCAGCACATAATCCAATAACTCTTTCAGTATAATTTTAATCTAGGTAATTATGTGGGTGGCAAATATATGAGATCTCAATTTCTGGAGGTCAGTGGCAAGTTAGAAAATGTCCCCATGAGGAAAATAATATTTTTGTTGTCCTGACTGTTGGCAGGTAGAGATTTATATTTTGCTTCTGAACCAGTAGGAATAATAAATGGGTACCTTATATCTTCAATGTGTATTATAACCATTAACTAGTTAATCCTGACAATACTTTATAAGGTGGATCCAATTTATGATCTGTATAATCTGAAGTTGGGGGGAACAGTAGTCTAAATGGTCCTGTTTTTGAAAGAGATAGGTGGCTTAAACATCTACCTGTAGAGCCCTAGTTTTGGCTATACTGAGCACCCAGATTCCCTGTCTACACTGCCAAAGGATTAGGTTAGAGAGTACTGTGCTAAAGTTGGGCATGTCTGCTCCATGTGTGTTACCTCCAGAAATGGATGTAATGTAGCTGCCTTATCACAGTTTGGGCTCACACCAGTAAGCTTGCCATTCCCAGCAATCTCAAGCTTTTAGAGTGTAGAAATGCTCTGTGGGTCAGTGCCCGACACAACAATAAAACGTAGGTCTTCCTAACTCCACCTTGTGATTGTTACTTTTTGTACCAAGGTAGCAGGAGATAGCCCAGGATATCATTATGCCAGCTGAATCCACTAGACTCTGCATTGTTGCGGTTTTTATATCCTACACTTTGCTGTGTTGTCTCAGTACCCAGATCTCTGTGCAGTAGAGATGCTGGCTTAAAAGAAGTGGGAGCATACAGTCTGCTTATATTTTTAATATCTGTGCTCCATTTGGTCAGAACATGGTTGATGTTTGAATTTTACACTGGTGATGTTAAACGTTTGTGGTCTTTTTAAGGAGCACCCAAATTGAGTTGCATTTGTTAGTTATGCTGTGCCATGGAATGGCATTTGCACAAAACCAATATGGCAGCTGGTGCTGGGGTTTCATGGACACATAATGGCCTAAATGCCAAAAAGAGGAGAAAAAAATCTATTTAAGCAATATTTTCCTCTCTATAGGAACTTAGTCTGTCAGCAGCATAAACACTTGCAATCATGCACTTCCTAGGATGCATGTGCTATCGAAAACGGAGGTGTTAATTGCTGTGCTAATTACAACATGATTGCTTTGCACTTGTTTTGCACTTGCAGGTGATTAAATTTTTAACGAAGCATATTACTTGGCACTGTTAGCACAGTTAACACATCTCTCTCTCTCTCTCTTTTTTTTTTTTTTTTTTTTATGCCTTGGGAGAAGTCCCACGCCGCAGACCCTTCTCTGGCTGTGATGTGCTGTTGTGTTTGGAACAAGTCTCTGTTTAGTCTGTCAGTAGCAGTACCCCAGCTTCCTGCTTGGGAAAGAGCAGCAGCCTATTATAATCATACTCAGCATGACGGCACTGGCCAGATGCGAACGCAGAACCCACAAAGGTATTAGCTAAAAATTAGGCAATGCTGTTGATGCCAGTCTCCCAGATTTCATTTAAAAACTATGCCAACTCGAGCCAGTCAGGCAGCAGCATCAGAGGATTTTGCAGGAAGGTAGAGAAATGACAGCAAGTTCCATGTGATTTATTTCTCCTTTACAGCGGGCATTCCCAGCTGAACCAGAGCACAGAAAACTTGCATCTGTTACATGGGCAGACTCATAGCTCTGATAAGGCTGCATAAACAGAGTACGAGGTGGCTGCAAAAATCTCAGCGAGGTGAACTAGTTGCTATAATTCATGTGGAAAAAAACAGGTTTTTCTTTTCTGAATCTCCCCTCAAACAAATCTGGATTTTTACATGTGCATGTATTAGTCCTGATTGCCTCATTAATAAGCAGGCATGTTTTGACCTGTGAATTAACAGCTATCTCAAATCTATCTTTATATTTGGGCCTGATTTAAATAAAATAGGAAACTTTCTGTAGACTCCAGAAGACTTTGGATTACATTTTGGCTGTGTCTACATGAGACACTCACTGTGCAGTCATTACGGCACAGTCATTTAGTATGTGTCTAAACAAGTTTAGACACATACTAAATGACTGCACAGTTGTTACAGGTGTGTACACGTACTTAATGACTGCATAGTAATGACTGTGCAGTCGGTGTCTCTTGTATAAACAAGTTTATACAAGTACTAAATGACGTTGCACTAACCTGAGTTACTGTGCAGTAATGCTGATGAATGCCTTTTTGGTCACACTACTGCACAGTAACCTAATACTACTGTGTAGTAGTGTTGTGTCACTGTGTCTGCCATGCGAAACTACTGTGCAGTAGTATCGAGCTATTGTGCAGTCATTGTCTTGTGTAGATGCGGCCTTTGTCAGTGGACTAGTCTCATCATTTACATCAGAGAAATAATGTCAAAGAGTCCAGAGATGGGCAGCAAACTTGAGAGAGGGCAGAGAAACACTCTTCTCATAAATAAGTCTGGGAGACGTGGGATGGTTTTGTCTAAAGAAAGTATAATTAACAGGAGGGAACAGAAGACAGTAATACAAAACAATACATGGAATCAAGAAGGTGCTTCTATTTAGCCTCACTCATCATTCAGAAGCAAGGACCATTTGGTGAAGAAGGCAGCAGATCTAAATTGATAAGGAAATATGCTTTAGACAACACTTAATTAACCCTGGGAACATACTGCCACAATTTCATTGAGTCCAAGAGCTTAACAGGATTCAAAATGGATTAGACATTTATATGGATAATGAGAAGTACATTAGACCAGATAAAAACAATATAAGGCATACAAACTCTCAAGCTTCATGGCATAAGCCAACAGCTAAGTACTGGGAATTAGGAAGAACCTTCCCCTATAGGCAGATTATTTCATAATTGTTCATTATGGGGTTTCTTGCACTTTCCTCTGAAGCAGCTGGTATTGGCTACTGACAGAGATGGGATACTGAACTAGGTAAAACAATTGTTTGATCTTATATGGCAGTTCCTTTGTTCCCATATGGTATTGTTTCTGCTTCCTGACTGGATGACTGAAATTTTTATAAACAGAGGGAATTTGAGGCGATTACAAAAAGATTGTGTGACTACTACTGATGCATCTTTCTGCATGTGCATGCAGATATACATGGACATGCACACACTTACACATGAATACTCAGTGGGCTTTCCCTTTCTTTTGAACAAAGAAAAATCGCTTGTAGGAATGATAGAAAAATATGAATAAAAGGTTGGAAATATATTGCACGTGAGTTAATAGAATGTATTTGAACATACATTTTTGAACATGTGACAGCACATGCTTAGATCTAGCATGTGTGTACGCACGCACGTGCGCGCACAGAGCAAAATCCTAAGGGATCTGGAACAATGCATTTGGTCCCTGGAAAAGTGGAATACAAAAGTGAATGGTGGCACCTACATTGACAGAAAGCACTGTGCCCTGTAGCTGATTTATCTTTAGCTTTAAGTGTTAGAATAAGAATTAAATTGCTGGGAGGTTGCAGTGTTACATACTATCGTGACTTGGCAATTTCAGTCTGAAAGATCACGGACACTGACCCCTAAATATTGAAAAGCTGATATGAATGGATTTATCCATAGGCAATTACAGAGTTCAAACTTAAGGACCAAAGCATTGTGCCTTTTTTTTTTTTTTTTTTTTGTGCGATGTAATTGTTCACATGTGGCTGTTAGCGTAAGCACAGGACAAGCAGGCGTATTGTAGAGCAAAATTGACACCAGGAATATGTTTTCTTCAATGCTGGAGACACGGTATTAACAATTCAGGACACTGACAAGGATCTCTTTAATTTTTCATGAATTCTATCGGCCCACAAATGGCAGTGCTTCAACTTTTCCACCATTTTGTCCATATAGCATTTACTGGCAGATGTGTCATGGATGAATACATGACAGATAAAGCAACCACTAGAGAGATGAAGAAAAATCCCCTCAGATGAGGCCTGTCTCCAGGAGTTGCTATGCACCCCACAAAAGGGGCTGGTTTTATCCCTCCTACAAGAGGGTGAAGTTGGTGTAGGCCAAACTCAGAATGATGCCAAGCACCTGCAGCTCTAGATAAAGTTGATGGTAGTTGTGGTTGCTCAAGATTTCTCAGGATTTGGCCTCTTGTGAGTTGAGGGTGCTCATTTCCCTGCAAAGTCTGGACCTATTCACTCAAAGCAGGATGAAGGCTTGAATTGCTCTGAAGGAACATATTGTCAGTGCAGTGTGTTATGGACTGCAGCTAAATAAACAGTGTGGCTTTAACCCTAGTATCAGTTTTGTTTGACTCAGAAAAGCATATTCATGCCAGCTTTTACTGCATGTAAATTAATGCCATTTTGAACTGGCAGGTTTCATTATCTGTAATTTCATTAAGAACAATATCTATTAAAGGACCACTGACTGGTATTTTTATTTTTTTGCTTAATGGATTCAATTATAACTGTTGCAAACTTTGCCATTTCCCCCCCCACCAAACTTCATATTCTAGTCTATTATTCACTGTCTGTCTGGCCCCCACCGTGTTTTTGCTGCAGATGTCATAACAGAAAGGAGATGAACAGGCAGCTCCCACTTCCCAATAAATTAATGTGCTGCAGTCTAATCCATGTCCCAAATGGGAAAGTTAACAACAATTTGCAAGCTTGTCACATCATCTAAAAAAATCAGATGGATATTTTCCCCCCTCATGTGGCAGGGGAAAAAAGCTGTTATTGGGATGAGCAGTTATTAATACATTTAAGCTACATCAGGATGTCATGCAAATGGCACAATTAATTCATCTGCTGCATCAACCCAGTGGTGTGTTATTTTTATCGGGAGCAACCTGTTTTGCATTCCAGAAACTAGTTTTTGGCTCTCAGAATTCATACATCATTTCCTCTGTTGCTCTGCAGCTTCCTCCCTCTGTTCCAGCTGGGCCGAAGCTCTGTTCAGCTGTCAGCCTTTCAGTGAGAATTTCTGCCACAGACTTTGGGGTCAGTCACCTGTGAGTCTTCCACACTCCACAGCATGTGGTTACTGGAACGTGGAATCTAGGACTCGGTGAAGCCTAATCAAAATCTGCCTTGCTGCTCTGCAGACAAACAGTTGTCAGCACCATTTATCCGTCTCTAAGAAGCAAATGAATGTTTAGATCCCCACAATGGACCTAAACAAGATATCCCTAGGCTTCTGCTGTGTGATATGCAGACAAAGAGGTGCACATCCTGGCTTTGACTCTGTGATTTCACTGGGAAAAGCTGTATGCGCAGCATCTCTGCTCCAACAAAATCAATCGGATGCACATGGTTAGAAACTACGGGGCACATCCTTAGCTAGCGTAAGGTAGTATAGCTCTGGTGCATTTGCTGCCACAGTGCTAGTTTGCACTAACTCCTGGAGTGACTTTTCTGAGGAGAGGAGCTGCATGTGGGTGTAGAGGACTGGTTTGTGGAAGCCCTTAAGATTTCAAAGCTTAGCTAAGGTGCTTGCTCTGGAAATGTTGTGAGAACATTGGTTCTTGGGAGGTTTTTTCCCCTCTAACTCCTCCTTTAATTCTCAGCAGAAGGAATGGGAGAAACTTGATGTTTAGTTGTATTTCAGTGTTTCTAGTCACAAGGGCAAAAGAACTGAAATATTAATTCAGGACCCCAAAATGATAGGAACTTTTCTGAAACAGTGAGTGAGTAGCTCAGGTTCAGGGGCAGAGGTGAGGTGTGGAAGGGGGAAATTCTTTTTATATCCCAGCCAATTTGCATATCCTTTGTGTCAATGTTTTAGTCCTTTTCCATTTAGCTCTTATTGATGGTAGACATGGCCAAAGCTCTGAAATTTGCAGTTTGATTGTCCAAAAACTCAGAGGAGTTTTGCATCTAGAGTTCCTTTGTACCTACATGTCTATTTCAGGGTGAAATAAGCTTTCCAATTAATTGGAATCATCTTTCAAATAAAGGGCTAGAGCTGGCTCTTAAGTCATGGGTAAGTGGTAAGGAGCCTAGAGAGGCTCAAAAGTATTGTGACCTAATGTGATTGTAGTAGTGTAGCTTAAAACTAGCTCAGTTAGGCTTAAACTAGCTGATTCAGGTAGCAGTAGTAATCTAACAGCAGCAGTATGATACTGTATGGTGAGCTGCAAAACCTGTTCCAAAAGCAGGGTGTAAATATTCGGGAGTGCTGAGCTCTGTACTGCAACAGCAAGGTTGTCAGTTAAAGCCAGTTCATTCAAAACTACACTACCTTACAGTGCAGCATGCCTGAAGAGTATAGGTCAGAATGTTTCCCGGCACAATCTTTTTTGAATGTGGGAAAGAGAGAGCGGACAGAATTTCTCCGTGACCCTGCTGTCCCCATGCCCATTTTGGAGACTGTAGTGCTATTGTTAGTGCTGGTCTCCGAACTGTTGCACCGCCCCAGTGTAAGAACCAGGAATATATTTGGCCCCTGGACAAAAAAGGGTAAGAAACAGGGAAGAAGGATGCGCTGCAATCC